TTTTTTTATGTGGAAGAAATGGCATTTTTTTTAGAACACTGAGTAATTAAGTGAGATGTTTTTATTCTCACTTTGACTCTGTATTTTGATTTATTTATTTTTTGTTAATAAAGTTAAAAATTTTTGTTGCAATTTTTTCATTGTTAAATGCAGAGTTAGAAAGGGATGCTGATGAAGAGCAGATAAAGGTTGCTTACAGGCGCTTGGCGAAATTCTATCATCCAGATGGTTTGTTCCTTCCTTTAGACCTATTCACTTTACAAATGTAAATTTTCGTGTCAATCCTTTATGAAAGGCAAATGAGGAAATCAAAATGTAGGTGGGTTAGGTATCTACTTGATATTTTGCATCTGTTCTGCGACTCTCTACTAATCTAGTCGTTGTTTTTCTTTTTTAAAGTATATGATGGTAGAGGGACCCTTGAAGAAGGAGAAACAGCTGAAGCTAGATTCATTAAGATTCAAGCAGCTTACGAGTTGCTGATAGATGAGGAAAAACGAAGGCAATATGATATGGATAATCGAGTCAATCCTATGAAGGTAACACTCTTACGTAAATGTTAATTTTTTTTTCAGTTATTAGATAGCTTATAATTAAGAATTTGTGCATGTAAATTTTCCAATTTACAAGTTTAAGAGAATTTGATTCTGTTAGAGTTCAAAGGAATGTACATTTCCTTGTTACATACTAAATGAAGTTCTGCCAACCCTCTCGTCCTCCAGTCCTTTTTCTCCTTAAGAGGGAAAAATATAAGTGTTCTCTAAAGGGCTCCACTTCACCCTTTAGGGCTTAAATTATGTGGGAGTTTTGCTAATTGTGCATAAAGTATAAAACCGTGAATTTCTGGCTGTGCTAAAGTATGTAGGGGTTTCTTTGATTATTCAAGTCTCTTCTTCTGGCCAGTAATTATTTACTTTTCAACTTCACCCTTTGGTTAATGGCATTTTCATGTTTCTTTGTTGCTAGGCATCCCAAGCATGGATGGAATGGCTTATAAAAAAGAGAAAAGCTTTTGATCAGCGGGGTGACATGGCAATTGCAGCTTGGGCTGAGCAGCAGCAGCTTCAGTTAAATCTTCGTGCACGCCGTCTTTCTCGTTCAAAGGTATTAAGTAATATGAATATTATCAAGTGGTTTGCAATCAAGAGCTCCCTAATTATCTTCCCACCATTTGGCTCTATTAGTTATTGCCTTTTTAATTATAAAATTTTATACCTAGTGTAAATCATGTTCTTTCTGGTTTCTTCTGTCAGCTGTCGTCTATTATTATAAATTTTTGGAGTTATTTATTTCTAGCGGACAGTATCTATCTGAACCCTAATATCTATCATCCCATACATATTTCCCCTCTTAAGATTCTGAAGGATCATGAATGCCTTAGCTCCTAGAGGTTAAGGTGTTTCTAGATAAGTGTTAATTTGAACTGTAATACCCATTATCTCATTACTATTTCACGTGCCTCAAAATTACTACACTTATTGCCATTGTTGTTACTATTACCTTAAATTATTTCCATGGTTATTGTTGTTACAATTCCGAATGCAGTCAAGTTCTTCTCATCATATTAGTTTTTCCCAAAACAAATGAAGCTATCTAGTCCTTGTTATCTCTGCATTTCTCTACAAATACATCAGAAATTTGTGTTTTGATGAAATTTCAGATTGACCCTGATGAAGAAAGAAAAATTTTGGCTAAAGAGCAAAAGGCATCCAGGGAGTATTTTACCAATACTTTGAAGCGGCATACACTTGTGTTAAAGAAAAGGGACTTGATGAGAAAGAAATCAGAGGATGAAAAGAAAAGGGTCATCAGTCAGCTTTTAGCTGCGGAGGGCCTTGAGCTTGATACAGATGACGATGAAACAAAGTAGGTGACGCTGCAGATACTTATTCACCACTTTCTATTGTACAATACATTTCAGAAACATTCTTAATATCTTATACGTATTTATTGTACCAAAAAAAAAAAAAAAAACTGTACATAGCAATTGCTTCCAAATTAATAAAGAAATTGGCTTTTATTTTCAGATTTGTGAGGGTAAGATTGTCAAATTTTGTTTGTGCATAGGGGTAGAAGTTGGCCGTTGGTGGTTGAATAAATTTGTCCTCTGATAGTGTTTTCGTCTCCTCATGTCGAAATTACAGTTATGGAAAATGATAGAGTTATCGAAAATTAAACACTGAATTCATGCATCGAATGACGGGGTAAAATCTTGACTGTCGATTAATATTAACTTATTATGAATCAACGGTCATGATTGTACCACATCATTCGGTGCACATCCTTCGGTAATTGTAGCATTACTCTTATGGGGTATTTGAATCATATAATGTTTTTTTATCTTAGTAATAAGATTACCAGAAAAAAAGATTACATTGTAGATTACTGGGTTTAAATTATTATTGTATTTGGTTCAATTGGGATGTATTAATAATTAATGTGTTTGATTGATAGTAATAATAGATGTTCTGAAATACCTTTTATTAAAATGCTCTTTAGATGATTACTAGATATAAATAATTAAGGGTTTGTTTGTTTTATTATTTGAAACCTTATTCTTTATCCTATTCCAGGATACTTATTTGTTTAATTATTACTTTTTTGTTTAATTATTTTGGGAAATATTATTCTATTTTTTTAATTACTTTTAGACCTCTTAAGTTTATTAACTTAATTAAACACCCCTAAAAAAGAAAAGTTTAAAAATTAACAAAAACAACCCCATCCACCCATAGTTGCCAAATTCCGTCAACCACCGTCGGCGGTGGCCGGAATCTGTCACAACAACCTAAAAACAACCGAAAATGGTCATTATTCATCGATCTGACCATTACAAAGAAATGGCCGTTATTAACGGTTAACGACGGTCAACTCTTTGGCCATATCTGACAGCCAGATTTGGCATTTTTCGGCCGTTGACGACCAAATCTGGCCTTAGATCTGGCCTTTTCTGGCCAGATCTATAGTAGGTCTGGCCGAAAAAGGCCAGATCGGTGAATAAACGGCCAGATTTGACCACTCTGAGTCGTAACGGCAGATTCTGGCGGTGGTAGCCGGAATCTAACACTATGGTGGTGGGGGTGTTTTGTCATTTTACAAATTGGGTGTTTTGTAATTATTAACCAAGCCAAGGATATTTTCGTCTGCATAATATACTGTTTAGGGGCAAGATTGGACATAAATTATGATTACCTGGTAACGTTTTAATAACAGCCCCCCATGAGGTACAAATATTCCTGGCAATTTACCCCCCTTTGAGCACTGTTATCTTTTTTTCCCGTAATTTTTTTTTTTACAAATATGCCAAACACGGTAATCTGCTAAATTAAACTAATATTACCTTTGTTAAAAAATTTAAACCCAATCCAAAGGGGCCTTACAGTTATACCCTTCACAACATCTAGTACTTGATGGCCTGGATTGCCGCACGAAGAATTACAGGGCTGGTTGATTAAAGCAATGTTACCCTTAAAAAAAAAATTGAATATAAGGTGATGTGACAAAAAAAATAAATAGATAAGTAAATATAATGAGTTTGATTTTTTGTTTCACTCTTTTATTTATTTTTTGTTATCTCACTTTGTATATAAATCTTTGTAAGTATAATATTATTGGGTTGATTATATTTTTTAGAATAAAAATAGTTTGACAAACAATTTCTCTTACAAAGGTTGATGTGGTAATTCGTATTTGGTCAGAAAAAACCCATTGTGGACAGATGAGACTCATTGCAAACTGGTCAATTATGAGCTAACACGTCGTATTTGTAAGAAAAAATTAGTGAAAAGTGTTTGATAGTGTAGTACTAGTGCATTTCTCGGCGAAGACAAATAAACAATACAATTAACTTAATTAAGCTTTGACAATTCGCATTCCCCTTTTCTAAAGATCAAAACCAAACTAGAGAACTGGATTTTACACACGTGCGCAGAGAAAGGGAAGCCCATATTCTGTTGCTTAAATTTACTAAGCGTATTGATATTGATGGTCACCTGCAAGCTAAAACTGAGTGTAGCGCAAAGACTTTATTGCAAGCTAAAACTGAGTGTAGTGCAAAGACATTATTGGCTGCAAGCTAAAACTAAAGTTGAAAAGAATGGATAACCATTTTAATTAAAAACTAACCTTTCTTTCAGTATTACAATGTTTTCCTTGGATCCCTTCGTAGAAACTATTATTAGATCAACAAGGAAATCAAGGTGACTGACAAAAGTTACAAGTTTATTTGTTATACAACATTTTCTTCAGAATGCGAAGAAAATAAAAACAATTTTTGGCTTAACTTTGTTAAGCCAAATAAAGAAAAGCTGATACAACACAGGAACAATCCTTGAGAAAACAAGGCTCGAGATAATGGAAAAACTAAAAGATCCTAAAATTAGGTATTATTTCATTTGACAATTAGTGTTGTATGTCATGTATCTCTGTTGTTTGCTATGCATTAGAATCCTTGATGAAAGCTGAATGTCTGTCCACAAGGAGTTTGACCAACGGATTTTCTACATCAGAACCAGCCTCTGTCTTGTCTCTCTGAACTGAAATCTTTTCACTATCTGTGACAACTACGACCACCTCTTTGCGAGTCAAGAGCTCATTTGCTACAACTGCATTCATCTTGTACTTTCTCAGAGCCATATCAGCCTTATCTAGAAGAATCTTTGTATCTGTCTCAAGCTGTGTAAAGCAGAGAAAAGATTATCAAATTTTAATGGTAAAGAGGTCCTTGGTTTAAGGTCTAGTAAACTACAAAATAACCGCATTGTGTCTCTATAACCATATTTCAATTATATTAATTTAATTGGGCAGCATTCTAATGTCAAAGTACAACTACATTGTAAAAAAGAGAGGAAAGTTTACATAGGTCTTCCACTACTTTTGAAACATCATACATAAAGAAAACCTGTATTTATTCCGTATCGCAAGTCCTCACCAATTCATGATACTAATTTATTCAAATCTTCTGTTAAGCTATTTCCTTGACCAACCTACATAAATGCCCTCCATGACCAAGCCATAACTTTTTGGGTTATCTTGTTGAATCATTTATAGGTCTAACTCTTGTGGGACATACAACATATTTTAATTCAAGAACTCTTTGGACAAAAATCTAGTCTCCAGAGGTGCATATTCTCTAACCTTAAATGATATGCAGAAGGCCATGGGAGCCCATTCTGTCCTCAACACTGATAGCATTTTTGGCACTTGCACAAGCCGCATGTCGAGGGGACCAGAGCCAGACTGAATCTTGTGTTCTGCCTGCAAAATTAATCTAGCTTTCAGTATGCAATTAAGAGGTGGATAATTTCAAATTTTCAATAAATTAAAAATTCAGTACTCAGAAAATAATTTGTGGGCAAATTTCACCTTTATGTTTCTTATGGATATATAAATAACTCCTCCAATGCATACTTTCTATCCGCCAATATGCTAATCTAAACTCATTTGTGCCATATATTGTGCCTAGTAAATGAGAATACAAAAATGCAAAAATATACACAATTTTGACCAGCAGTGGAACTCTCTACAGGAAACTACAAATCTATTTTTCATGGCTATTAAAAGCAGCTTGAAAATTGAAACCAAGAACAGTTCTTAGTATGCTTATTAAACCATTACCATGCTTTTCCAGGGAACATAAAAGTCCGACACTGCAGCAGCGAGATAGAACATTGCCAGTGGCCCAAGACTCCTTAGTGATACTGCAACCATCTGCAACATCTGCTCATAGTATAGGACCAGCTATTCAATAAATAGGAGAAAGCTTCTTCCAGGAATTGCAATTTTAAAAACTTTTTATTGCAATCACATAATGATGACTAAGTGTTCAAAAAAGAATACTAGTCAGCATAACAAAGCAATAGTCAAACCACAAAAATGTGCAGGCAAGCAAAGAAAATAGTAAAACGTAGCAAGATTGGTGCAGGACTACTTCATTTAGGCACATATAAGCAAAACTGGTCAAGAGAAAGAGAATAACAAATAAGCAAGACTGGTAACTCCTAGGTGATTCAGATGAAAGATGCATAATACTAAGGCAAGGTCAGTGGCCTCATTTAGTTTAGCTAAAATACAGTGAGACTTCCCAGGAGGCATATTATGCGGTCTATCATTATCATCATCACAAAGCCAAAGACTATGAAGACATAAAAGAACAGATCTCCATTATGGAAAAAATTAAACCACAAACTTACAAAAATCAGGAGGAAAGTTTGCATTACCATCATTAATCATAAAGAAGGGATAAAAAATTAAAGTTTGACTGAAGTGAACCTGAAGATACTCAAATATAGTTGTAAAGGGAAGTTTTAACAGAAAACCGCCTGCTACTGCCTGCAATAACATAAGAGCCCAAAGTAGCCCATCATTAAATTGTGTTGCAGATTAATATATCAAACAAGTAAAATCAAAGATGAAGATAATTCCAAAAACACTACAAATTAGCAAAAATATTAATGGCCCATACAGCATGATGATCCCTAATAGCCCTCTTCACTGCTTCAGAATAAGGTTGGCGAACTGAAATATTAGACATAACTGAATCATCTTAGTGGTGAAACAGGAAACATCATTTCATATAAAATCCAGAGAGACCCTATCAAGTAATATAACACCCACAACAAAAAAATTCTAGCACCAGCACATAACACACCATTATCACCTAAAGAATCGTCTATAACTTAGCCAAGGCGACTAGAGTATACAACTTGATAATAATTCAAAATGCTACAAACCTTGAATATTCAATTCATCAGTCGCCTCAAAACATTCAAGCAACGGATCATCAGGAAGGGACCTGCAATACGGCTGGCTCGTTCCCCTGCATAAATTTAAACAAAAATTCAAATTCCCCACATCATCCTCGTTACAACAATGAATAAGTAATTATAATTGAAGCTAACAAACTCTAACCTTCGATACAAAAAGATAATCGCGTATCCCGCCTTCAAAAAATACCTACAAACCATGATTGGGGATTTTAATATTAGAGGAATTTCCATAGAGTTCTCCTTAGTTTTGTAATTCGTCAAAAATGAAAATTTAATTTCAAAATTAAAAAGGATTTACTCAGTAGATGCGGCTCCTCTATGGCCGGAACTAAAATTATCAATGTAACGAACACAACGCTGCTCCAATGGCACCGTGGTACCGCCAGATGTCACACACACCACTCGTTTCGTTCCTTTACAGTTAAGTTCGACAAATTCGTTTAATTTCTCCATGATACTGTCGCGCTCTTTCAGAGGCGGAGCCGACTCGTAAAACGAGTCGATTTCTGATCCCAGCGATGAATTCATCTTCTAACTGCCTACAATGATGCAAAAATATTAATTAGTGAACAGAAACGTTAACGGCTGTAAACGAGAACGAATTTAGATTTAGAACTGACCTGGTGCCGAGTAGCGGATTGGCTAGGCTTCAATTCAACGCTAATGAATGGGCGAAAATCTGTAGACTTAGATTTCCTTTTTTATAGCTTGGGTACTTTCGTTGGAGATATTTTAATAGCCGTCAATTCCCGCCACCAAGATATAATTGCAGGTTGCAACCCGACTAATCCCACCGTACGCTCTCGCTTTTACTTTTTAAACACCGTATTACTGTTCTTTTTCTGTAAAATGAGAGTAACTCGGTTGAAAAACGAAATTGTTTTCAGTGTTTTCTATAATCTCTCGGAGGGCAGGAATGGATGAAAAACATGTGAAATTGTTTAGTACAAGAATTCCACCATATCCATTCCATGTGAATTGTTATATTTATTAAATAAATGAAAATTTAGCAACAGCTGTGAGTAATAATTGCAGAGATCAATAATGGCGGCATTGATATTAATATAATTGTTCACAAGTCATTTTCTTAAGAAACCTAATCCTATCACCCGACTACTACCCAACTATATAGACTTCTGTTTTAGTTGATAATAGCTTTAACATTGCATTGCATATTAAAGTTCCTTAATAATTTGGTGAAGCTATTATATCTAGAGCCAACAAAATCAGTTGAAATCCCATCCAAATCCTGCATATAGAATCAAGATGAGCATAACAATCATGGGGTTGAACTTTGAAACCTTCAAACTTTAAAAGTCAAAATGATATGTAAATATGACAATTATGCATCACCAATTCTAACTTCATTCAATCATAATTCATAAAACATAAGTTCACCGATAACAAAAAAAAATTATTTTTTGGAAAGAGTTGAACCCGACGTGAATCGAACACGCAACCTTCTGATCTGGAGTCAGACGCGCTACCATTGCGCCACGGATCCGCTTGAGGTTATGCAAGTATGTGTATATACATACATATATAAGATTTTTTTTAACAAATTGATATTAAATAAATGGAATAACGATATTGATGAGAAAATCTTCGTATATTTCTTTTGAACCGTCTATATATATATACACGATGTTTTAAAGATTTATTTTACAAATTAACGTCCCACTAAATAAATGTAGGAACGAATAGATGAGTTTAACGTTTTTGTAAAATCTTCCTATACTTCTTCTGTACCGTCTATCATTATTGTATAAATATAAGTATACAACATAAACAAAATTTTCCCGCCAATTCTAACTGCCACTTTCGGAGTCTGTTACACCTGAATACAACAACTGTCAACAGCTATAAAACCCAAAGAAGACGAGCAGCGTCTCTCACAAGCAATGCCAACAATGGGAGACACTCCCGCCGCCAAATTCCAAAGCCACCTCGAAATCAAGACGCTACGGCCACCCTCACCTCCAACTCGTCCCTTCTCCTTATCAAAAAACCAAGACCGAGAACACCAAAAAACTCCTTTCTTCAAGTCTCGAGCCGGTATAAGAAAAAGCGACACGTGGATCATCTCCGTCTTCGTCATCCTCCATGTCGTGGCCTTCATTGCCACCATGGTTGCCAATGATTGCTGGAGAAACTCTCACGGTGACTGCGCACTCAAAGCGCTCGGAAGGCTGTCGTTTCAGCCACTCCCTGAGAATCCTTTACTCGGTCCCTCTGCTTCTGCGTCAGTAATTTTTTTCTCTGTTTATGCGAGTTTTATTTTGTGTGAAATGGGAACCTTGTCGTGATATGTTCGGTTAAAATTTAGGTTTCTTGTGATTTGGCTTCTGTAACAACAGAATATGAGAGGTGGTGTCTTGATTCTCTTAGTTCTTGCGTCGAAGGTACACCAAATGTTTGCATTAGGTTTTCTGAGACCGCTAATCTTGTTGTGGTTTTGCTTAGTTACGATGCCAATAATTGAATTATTTTTGTTGAATTTATATTTAATTAAATAATAGTTGGTAAGCAACTTAAACAATACTGCTGGCTTAGTTAACCATTTAGCTCTAGATTCCTGGATATTTAGGGTTTTTAGAAATCTTTTTGTTATTATCCTTGGTGATTCCTCAAAGTTGTTTTTAGATTATGGATCCCTTCTTGTTGCGAGGAATTTTATGGGATAGAAAAGTAAATTCTTGATTTGTGCATTGAACCTGTTTATTTCCAATCATTCATCAGTTTTCTTTTAGTTCTGCAGCCCAATATCGGAAAATTTTGACTTAGGCGGAATTTTATTTTATTTTTTATGCGAATGTATACTGGAATTGACTTGCTGATGCTTTCTGCCATTATACATACATAATGCTTCATCTATCTTCCGGGTGAAGAACACTGTTGCGCTAGAAGCTTTTGAGATTTCATAGTCCAATGCTTTAGTTTGAATCTCTAGTGTTTGTCAAGCACGCTGAAAATGAAGTGGTATAATGTATTATCATCATTGATAAAATTAATATGTTCTCACAGGTTTGATGAAATGGGAGCTCTCCGCCAGAATTTTCTGGAAGAGAATCACCATGCTTGGCGTCTGTTCACATGCACTGGGTTGCATGCTGGGCTCATTCATCTAATCATCAACCTCGGCAGCGTCATCTTTGTAGGAATTCACTTAGAGCAAGTGTTTGGACCGCGTAACTACTTTGCCATCTTATTAGCTATCATCTTAGCTAAGAATTATAGCATGATATTATAGGTTTACAAATAGATTTTGAATGCTATTAATGGGTAATTTACCTTCTTTTATTTTTTTCTGGTTCTGTTGCACAGTGAGGACAGGTATCATCTATATACTCTCTGCTTTTGTTGGAAGCTTGGCCGCCGCACTATTCATCACAAATAGCCCAGCAGTCGGTTCCTCTGGCGCATTATTTGGTTTGCTTGGAGCTATGCTTTCTGGGGTCCTACGGGACTGGAATGTTTACACTCATAAGGTCCTTCACCTTCTCTTTCACCACCACCACCAAAATCATGTATTCTTCATTAATCTTACTAATCGGTGCATTGATCCCTCCTTTGCTTGATTTCAGTTGGCGGCGATATCATTTCTTTTCTTTGTCTCCACAATCAATTTTGCTGTCGGTTTGCTACCTTATGTAAATAATTTTTCAAGCATTGGTGGTCTTATATCAGGATTTCTACTTGGTTTCGTGCTTCTGTTCACCCCTGAGGTTAAGCCATTGGTTCACAACAAGGCAGGCCTCTACGAGTATAGTACCAAAAGTTCTATCAAATCAAAGCTGAAGCTAGACAGGCCAATCATAAGGGGTGTCTGTCTTATTCTTTTTGTTTTTGTGTGAGTTCTCCTTTCAATTCGGTGATAAGCTCTTTCCTGCTGTTGGTCCATATCTTTTTCTGCAAGAATTGTAAGAACTAAGAAGAGCTTTTGTTTGCATGCAGGCTTCTTGGATCTCTTGGAGCAGTACTTGGAGGAATAAATGTAAACCAATATTGCAAATGGTGCAAATATATTGACTGCATTCCTTCTAAAAGGTGGAGTTGCAATGACATAACAGCTAATTGCGAGGTACAGTTTCGATTTTAGCGCATCAAATTATATGATATTCAAAGTTGACGCTAAAGGCAAACTGACTATATTTGGAAGGGAAAAGGAAATAAGCTCATGCACGAAACTGCCCTGTATTATGAATTTGACCCCATAAACATATGTCCTCGGACAAAAAGCCATTTCCAAGAATAAGTGTGAATTATAGAGCAAATATAGGAAAAAAATTTCATTACTCTTATCAGCTTAAGAGTATATACTGGACTGTGAACATAAAAAAATGTCTTCTTGAAAATAAGTTACTGCATCACATTGTCAACTGAATCCCTTCCTTTTACTGACTATATAACTTGTAGTAAACTACTTTCATATGTCATAAATGCTCTATTCATATAAACTTCTTTTATAATGTGTGTAGATGGCTGCATTTGATACTATCTTTGCATCAAAGAGGATTGTATTTATTTTTAATTGATACTGTCTGCGCCAACTATAGCTTTTCACATAGTAAGAAATAATGTATTAGAAGATCGTCAAGAATAGACCTTCTTATATAACTAATAAGCTCTTAATGCCATGAAACTGCATGCATGCTAATAGTAGTCAAATGAAAATTGCAGACTATGGTGAGCAACTCACAGATGACATTGACTTGTATGGGCAATGGCAACTTCAGGGTTTTCCCATATACCAACATTTCACAAGCAAGGATGAAGGACTTGTGCACTCTGCTATGCTGACAGAAAAACATTTTAATTTGTAATGAATCATGGAAACTGAAGATACTTGAATATCATGTACTCTGTTGATAGCCATTCGGTTGAAAGCTTTTAGGATTTTTTTTCTTTTTTTACTTTACCATTGGTCCATATCTTTTTTGAAATATAAAAGGAGTACTGTTTGAAGTAGAAAGAAAAGGCTTTATGAAGCTTTCTGATAGCATAAAGAGTATTGAGATAGAATGAGCCATACTATGGCGTCACTATTGAAAATTCTTTTTGGATGTTTTCACTTTTCACCATGATCTTTCCCTTTTAACTTTTACTAGTAAAAGATGGGGTTTTACGGTGGGGACTGGCTGCGGAGACTGCAATAATTTGTTGTACTGATGTATGATACATGTTTGTAGCATAATGATTTTGGCACTTCAAAACAGTATAATGGAATGCCTCTGAAGAACACTGTGAAGTGAGGGCAAGAGTGTGATGATGGTCTTTGTGTTGTGTTGTGTGCCCCCGAACTCATTTTGTGTCTTCGAATCTCTAATGTAGCCGGAGACCACCATCTAGTTAATAACTTAATATAGTGTTATGGACAGGCGTTGCAGGGCCTACAATTTTTTAAGGGTGAGAAGGCTTCGAACTTCGAAGCAAATGATGATTCTTCTTACTAATGCTTTTAAAAATGGAAAATGTTACTCTCACAATTTCTTCTCATAAACTTCTTTTCACAATCCTGACATGACAGCTTATAATTGATCAATTCGTAACGGGTTTCATTTGGGTCCTACCTAATAAATTGCAACTACCAAATTGTTGAATTATTATTGATATTTTAAAAAGATTTTGAGAACCGTTATTATTTTTTATTGCATTTGACCAATTATTCCTAAACTTTAGCAAGGAGTTAGTAAACTGTTGGAGTTAGCATTATCCTTGACTTCTTCATAACATTCATAAGTCTTATATTTCTCTTATCACAACCTTATTATAAGGTTATAATAAAAAGAGTATTATCCTTGACTTCTTCATGAGCCTTATCTTTCTCCTATCTTTACTCAATCACAACATTATTGTAACGTCATAATAGAAGAGTTATTTGCTCTTTACAATGAGATAAGTTATCAGTTTTTCCCTATGCACTTCCTCTCTGGGTTAATTAAAATTTCTCACCATTTTGTGTACTTGAAATTATTTCAAAAGAACCTGTTAAATCCTGGGGGATTTTTGCATTCTTAAAATATTTATTGTGACGAAATCATCCTTAAGGATAGTGTATATAACACGTCTCAGGTTTTCTAATTTCTCCTTGTTTTCTGAATTATTTTACAATAATCTTAAGGATTATGGAGTCTACTCTCGGCAACAATTCTCCGGCTACTGTCGCCAACAATTCTTCTGCCACTGCTATTGACAATCCTATAGCTATAGCCTCTGGCAACACCTCCTCCGCTGCTGGCCTTCATGGAGTGTCCCATTTAGTTGCCTCTACTGTTCTAGTAGTCGCCGCTATCTCATATGCCAAACCTTTTCCTGATATCTCCAAAATTGAAATGTTTGGAAGACAAAATTTTAAAAGACGGCAAGAACGCATTCTTTCGATCCTTGACATGTTCGGTGAAGTTGCTGCTCTCACAAATCCTAAACCTGGATCATCCACTGATCCAAAACAATTGGAAATATAGACTCATGCTAACAAGGTATGTAGGCATACTATCATTGGCACCTTATCTAATGACTTGTTTGATATCTATTGCCCCTATAAAGAAGCCAAGGATATATGAGATTCAATGAAACTAAAGTACACTGCTGAGATTGTTGGGAAGAAAAAATTTGTTATTGACAACTTCTATAGGTGGGAGATGACAGATGACAAGGATATCAAGATGCAAATCAATGAATACCACAAACTTCTGGAAGATCTCAAAGCTGAAAACATCAATTTGCAAGATAAGTTTATTGTAGGATTATTGATTGAAAAGCTACCAAAATCTTGAAAGGATTACAAGCAACAACTCAAATATAAGCACAAGCAATCGTCACTTGTAGATTTGACCACCCACATCATAATTAAGGACACCAATAGAAAGGAACTCAAAGCTGCAGAATCAATAGAGATAGCTTCAAAAGCACACTTGGTGCAAGATAAATTTCACAAGCAAAATAAGAGGTACGATAACAAAAACCTGATTACAAGCGTAAGCTACTAACGCCACCTTCAAAAAGAAGGGAAATTGTTTTGTTTGTGGAAAACTAGGTCATCATGCACCTCAATGTAGAAAGAGAATGAGAAATGACAATCCTCCTAAGCCAAAGGCAAATTTCGTTAAAGGACATGATGATATAATTGTAGCAGTCATTTCTCAAGCTTATCTTGTGGCCAATGTGAAAGAATGGGTGGTAGACTCTAGTGCTACTAGGCATATTTGTGCAAACAAAGATGTTTTTACCTCCTACACTCCTGTAGGGGATGAAGAATAACATGTATATCTTGGTGATTCTCAAACTGCTAATGTTCTTGGCAAAGGTAAAATTCTTCTCAAGCTCACATCTGGCAAGACTTTGGCCCTCAATGAAGTGCTTCTCATGCTTAATATTAGAGCAAATTTAATTTCAGTGGCTCTATTAGGAAAGGTTGGGGTTAAGGTGTCATTCGAATCTGATAAATTTGTAATGACAAAGAATAATGTTTTTGTGGGCAAAGGTTATTGTAACCAAAGACTTTTTGTACTCAATGTTTCTGAAATTATGAATGGAAATGCATCTTCTTTTACTTGATTGATTCTATTGATATGTGGCATGCTAGATTAGGACATGTTAGTATTTCTTATATTAAGAAAATGCAATATCTTGGTTTAATTTATGGTATTAGTAATACATGCTTGAATAAATGTGAGGTATGTGTTGAATCTAAATTAGCTAAGAAATCTTGCCATTCATACAAAGAGAAACTGAATTGCTTAGTTTAATCCATAATAGTGAGAAAAGAGAAAGCAGAGTGAGAGAAGAGAAAGGAGTACCCAGAGAGAGACACAAAATATTAAGCTTGTATCTTGGAAGATACTGTTCATATTACAAACCAACTGATTTATACACATTTACATAACTAATTCAGGAAGCTTCCTGATCAATTTACAAAACATGGTGGGCAAGCACAGTAGTGAGAGAGTGACAGCACAGCAATATAGGACCACAAGAATCTTAGTTTGTTAGAGACCTGGCGGATGGAGACACATGTCACCAGTGTTGTCTCCCTGGTGTGTTGCCATCTGTCCATTGTCCATCTTCTTCACATTCCCCCTCAAACTAAGGTCTTTGTGTAGGACCTTAAGTTTGTTTCTCATCCATTTGAAGTGATTCTTAGGACTTGGCTTTGTGAATATGTCTGCTACCTGTTCTTTTGATGGAATGTAGCTGACTTCGACGTCTCCATTTCTCTTATAAAATGAATGTCCACGTCAATGTGTTTGGTTTTCCCGTGTACGATAGGATTCAAAGTGAGGGTTACGGCACTAACGTTATCAAACCAGATTCTTAGTGTTGAAGAAATCCATATTTTCAGTTCTGAGAGCAGAGAAGCTAGCCAAGCTATTTTGGGTCCAGCTTGAGCAAGAGCTCTGTACTCACTTTCAGTGCTTGATCTGGACACCCCTCTCTGTTTCCTTGAGCTCTATGCTACTGCATTTCCATTTAACATAATACAGTAGCCTCCTGTAGACTTCCTGTCCTCAGTGTCACAAGCCCAATCTACATCAGAGTAGGCTTGGATTTCACACTTTCCCCCTGGGTTGTAAAGAAGGCCATACTCCGAAGTTCCTTTAAATACCTTAGGACCCTTTTAACTGCCTGTCAATGATCTTCAGAATGATGTTGCATAAATTGACTCAACTTGTTCACACTGTATGCAATGTCAGGTCTTGTAATTGTTGCATACTGCAGAGACCCTATTACGCTCCTATATAAGGACAAGACTGCATACTTTTTAAATTAAATCATGTTTTCTTTCCTCAAAATTTGATATGAAGGACATGAGTGAAGCAAGTGTGATTTTGGGTGTTAAAATCATAAGGAAGGGTCATAGTATAATGTTATCGCAAGAACATTATGTTGAGAAACTTCTTAAGAAGTTTAGACATTTCAATGTCTTACTAGTGACTACCTCTTATGATGATAACACTCAATTAAAGAAAAATATAGGCGATCCTGTTGCTCAATTTGGGTATGCATAGATTATTGAGAGTTTGTTGCATTTGATGAACTTTTTCTACCTGACATAGCATATGTTGTGTGTAGATTGAGTAGGTATACACATAATCCCAATCATGATCATTGGGTTACATTGGTCAGCTTAATGAAATATTTGAGAGGTACCATGAACTATGGTATTCTATATAATGGATTTTCTACTGTATTAGAAGGATAGAGTGATACTAACTGGATTTCAGATTCAGATAAGATAAAATCCACTAGTAGTTGGGTATTGACCCCTAGTGGTGGTGCAGTTACTTGGAAATCAACCAAACAAACTATTATTACTAAGTGCACAATAAAGTCATAGGTTATTGCTTTGGAATTGGTTGGTAATGAGGCTGAGTGGTTGAAAAACTTCTTAGCAAATATTATGTTGGGCACAAAACCAACACCTTTTCTGTCTATGCATTGTGATTGCCAAGCGGGAATAGCCATTTCAAAGAATAAAACCTTCAATGGTAAGAACATACACATTCGTTTGAGACTTAATGTGGTTAAGTAGTTGCTAAAAGATGGAATTATAATAATTGATTATGTGAAGTCAGAAGTGAATTTGGCCGATCCTCTAACTAAGCATTTGGGAAGAAAACTAATAAATAAAACATCGAGGGGAATGAGACTTGAGCCAACTTGAGAAATTAAGAGTGATGGTAACCCAACCTTTGTGATTGGAGATCCCATGAATAAGGTTCGTATGGGTAATAACAAGTCACTAGTTAATTCTGCTAGCACTATTATTTTTGTCCCATTCTATGGTGTGAGAAGTTCTAGACTGTATTAAATGAGAGGATGAGCTAAAAGCTCTTAATGATTTTCATATCCCTTATGGGTGGTGTAAAATTGCAGTATATATTTGATGAAATCACCTATATGAGTGTGGAGTGGGGCCGCTCCTATGAGATTGTGGCATAATCTCTAGAGCACTCATGAACTACCAGGCGAGCACATGGTCTATAAACACAAAACAGTGTCAACTGTAAGAATTATGAGAGTGTAATGTAATTGATAGGATTTCAACTTACCGAAAAGGGTTTTGGTTCATATAAGCTAAAAACTTCACCAACAACTCTGTATATTAAGTCTTATTTGTCTAGGTTTGGTTCATAGTCCAAAAGACACTAGATTCGAAGCATCTACACTCATGTTTTAACCTAGAAAACTTTCTTCTTATTTTTATTTTCCCAAATCTTTTTGAAATATGTGGGGGATAGTTGAATTATTATGAATTATTATTGATATTTCAAAATCTAGGACCGTTATTATTTTTTATTGCATTTGACCAATTATTCCTAAACTTTAGCAAGGAGTTTTACTAACTGTTGGAGTTAGCATTATCCTTGACTTCTTCATAACATTCATAAGCCTTATCTTTCTCCTATCTTTCCTTAATTACAACGTTATTATAACGTTATAATAAAAAGAGTTTTATCCTTGACTTCTTCATGAGCCTTATCTTTCTCCTATCTTTACTCAATCATAACATTATTGTAAAGTTATAATAGAAGGGTTATTTACTCTTTACAATAAGATAAGTTATCAGTCTTTCCCTCTGTATTTCCTCTCTAGGTTAATTAAAATCTCTTACTGTTCTGTGTACCTGAAATTATTTCAGAAGAACCTGTTAAATCCTGGGAGAGTTTTGCATTCTTAAAATATTTATTGTGGCAAAATAATCTTTAAGGATAGTATTTATAACACGTCTCAGGTTTTCTAATTTTTCCTTGCTTTCTGAATTATTTTACAACACCAATTATAAGTTGCCACGTCAAGGTTGTGAGAGAAAGTTTCTAAGAAGAGGTTGTGGGTGTAGCATTAGTCAAAATGGAAAATAGTTCTTCCTAAAATCCTCCCTTTAATTTCTTACACAGGAAAACGACAATTTCCCATCCAAGGTTTGGCCAAACGATACGTTTCCACCCAAACAGTTTCAAAATGATAATTTTTCACCCATTGTTAAGATCTGTTAGTAAAATTCATTAACTAATATGATATAAACAGTGTAAAGACGAAAATACTCTTCTCTCCTCTTCTTATCTTTTCTTCTTTCTCCTTCGTCACCCCTCTTCTTTTTCTCTTTTCTTCTTCTTCACATTTCTTCTTTCTTCTCCTTCTCTTTATCCCCCCTTCCCTTCTCCAGGACTCTATATGTCAAAACTTTGGCTGTTCAATCTGGTCGCCTCTTGCCTAGATCACAACGGTCATGATCTGGTCGTCGCTTGCTCAGATCATGTTGGCATGATGTGGCCAAGCAGTGGCAGATTGTGGTCGCCCAATCTAGCCATCCACCAATTTTTTAATACATTTTTCTTATGATCTACTTTTTCATTTTTGAAGTAATAGATCCTATGAATTTTAAGTTGTGTTTTAACATTTTGGAGAATTTGAACATGGTTAAATCTTTAATTTAGTAAGTTGTTAGAGATTTGGTTGTGCAAAAAAAATTGAGATAAATTGTTGAATGTTTGGTGACAAAGATTTTTGTTTGCAAAAGGGTGATTGGGATGAAGTCTGATTGCTGCAAAAAAACTAGTGATTTGGAGCCGAAGGTGGAGGAGGAGGTGGCAGTGGCGATGGACGCTCGGGTAGTGGTGGATGAGGAGGCATTGGAGGTGGTTTAGGTAAAGGTGGAGGCATTAGAGCTGGGCGCGGTGTTGGTGGCAAGGCTAAAGGTCGTATTGGTGGTGGTGGTTCTGGCCCCAATGGAGGCTTTGGTGTTGGAGGAGGTATGGGTGGTGGTGTTGGAAGAGGGGGTGATGGTGGTGGGGGTGGAGGAAATGGAGTTGGAGGTGGAGGTGGGGGTGGATTAGATGGAGGATTTAGACATGAGGGTGCTTTGATGTTGGTGGGGGCGTAGGAGGTGGAGTTGTGGAGGAGTAGCTAAAGGCAGGGGTGGAGGAGGAATAGGTGGGGGTTCAAGCATATTTGAAATTGTTGAAGGTGTAGGAGGAGGTGTAGGTATAGGTAGTGGTGTTGGAATAGGATAAATAGATGGTATTGGTGGAGGCCATAGAGCTGGTGGTGGAGGTGGAATTGGGATAACCATTGGAGTGATTTACTATGTTGTTCTTCTTCCGTTAAAGTTAACAGACGAATCTTAATGATGGGTAGGAAAGTGTCCTTTTGAAACTCTTTAGGTGGGAAAGTGTCATTTGGTCAAACCTTGGGTGGAAAATTGTCCGTCTCCCTTTCTTACACCTCTAAATGTGATATAATAACATTACTCACATTTGCTAAGTGTAGACGTAAAAATCCACCTGTACAGAAGGGGGGTCTGATCCCGTGAGGTTAAGGCTACTAGCGATCTGCTGCACCTGCACACGTAGAGAAACACATGCGTGAAGTGAACAGGAAACACCGGGGTGGTGTTTGCCGTAGGCACTCCGACGCTCAAGTCAGCAAGGCTGAGAGAGGCTAATATAGTGAGGGCTAGGGAGTAGAGGTTACCGGAAGTCTAGTCGGGGACTGTGACTACGGCGGTGATGTGGAGCTCTCAAGTCAGAGCTTTCAGTGTGAAGGTGTAATGTCATCCGTCCCTTGTGAGAGGGCTGGCCTCTGTTTATATAGTGGTCGTCTGGTCTCCCAATCCTGGTAGAAGTAGGAGTCCTAGTATGACTCTGATGCAAACCCTAGAAGAATTAGGGTTGTGGTAAGCTGTCTTACCAGTGTCCGGATAGGAAGGTGATTCTGATTAGGAGAGTAACTCCGAGTAGGAAAGTGATCAGGAATAGGAAGGTGACCTTGAATGGGAGATTGATCAGGAGTAGGAAAGTATTCTGAGGGGGTTGTGGGCTCTGGATTCGCCCATGGACCTAGGAAATGGACTGGGATTAGGAGGCTCGTGCCCACGTGGTTTGGGCTGGCTAATATCGTGCACCGAGATCGGGCCCTACTATGGTTTTCTGGGTCAGGTAAGCAGGATTGGCCGGGCTCTTCTGCAGTGGCAAGCCCTTTGTCGGGGCTATGTGCAGCGAGCCGGACAATGTTTGGGCCTCTACCGGGGAATCCTCTTATAAGCGTCATGTGGGCTCAAATTCTTTTTTATACAGTTAGAACCAGAGTTGCAAGGGAAATGGATTAAATTTAACTGCAATACCAACACCTTTACAATTTAACTAACGAGATAGCAAAGCGTCCTTAAGTGCCCCAATAATTTCTAGAAAGGATTAAATATCTTCTTGAAATTATCAAAAATTTCGAACAAATATTAAAAAAAAAAAATGCCTTAGAATATAAAAAAACCCAAGTAGGGGATTTTTATACTTTCAAAAATTGATGAGACGATTAAGGGATGAATAAACAAGTCAATTAATAAACCCACTGAAGAAACATCGAGTAGCCCATGGCCTAATGGATAAGGCGTCTGACTTCTATCAGGCGATTGTGGTTCGAGTCCCACTGGCGTGACTTTTTAATTTTGCATGAACCGGTCTGAGAGATTGGTTTCTGAATGGAATATTTATGCATGATAGAATTAGAATCCCCTCATTACCTGTCAATTCTTTGCCGGCTTTTCTACAACTTTCTAATCCTTTTTTCTTTCTTTTCCTTTTCCTTCTTTTTAGCTTTGTTCCGCCTAATGCAGCAACACCTCGCACAATTTCATTCTCTTTTTATCACAATGCACCTTAATCATCACACCAAACCCCCCATCCAAATACCAGTTAATCGTATAAACCAGGAATGGGATTATGGATGGGCCGATAAAGAAAGTATATATTATAGCCCAATGTCAACTATTCTTCTTCAATAAAAACACAAACTAAAATCCAACCCACCATCGATAATATTTAATTTAATATCAGCTTTTACTTTAATAAAATTATTCTTTCTTCTGGTTCTGGGTTACAGACATGATTACATTCTGCTCTCTCTGGTCGATGTTGGGTGGCCGCCCTAATAGGGCCAGCAAGCCGCAATGCTTTAAATAATGGATTTTGAGTACACAAAAGTACTAAATTACAACTCACATAAAAGCACACAAAAGTGGCCTACAGTGAGCCTACTCCTCAATATTGATTGGGTCCAAACTCCAACCCTTGTAATTGTTATCTATTCCCTTCCTATTTCCATTTCCATTTCCCAAACCTAGCCAACAAAGTGTACAAGACTGCATACTTTTTCTGTATATTCAAAATATAATATGACCCACTTTTGGATCATTTTTTTCTCTATTCCATTGCTCTTTGGATTCTTCTTATGGTCCTCTGTTGACTTCGGGTTGTCCCTCCATCTAAATTCTAACGCATATAATTAAGGCCGAAAACATTTTGCCCCCAATCTGTAGTGAATACCACTTTCCCCCCTTGGTTTCGGAAACACCCAAATTATCCCCATTGTTTAAATTCAAACTTAAAACTTAACCTCACCTCATGTATATAGACAAAAAAAAAAACCAAAGACTGGCTTTTTATAACGTGGCTGATCAAAACAGTTGGCTTGACACACAGTTTGATGTTGAATCAAAATACAACCTAATCATCATCTGAGTGGAGTGGAGCGGAAGGCTTCTTTAATCTTTGATGGGTTGATAAACATAAAATATGAAGAGGAGAAATCAACACGAGTTTCCTGTTTAAGTTAAGTGCATGATGAAGTAAAATTTCACACGATGAAACTTTGTTCCATGATGTTTGTTGGACCACATAGAAGAAGATGCTCTTGTTCTCTAAAATTAATTAATATTTTGGATGGATTTATCTTAAAAGGACCAACGTTTTACATGGAAATTGATTGAAGACGAAGCACTTTTCAAAGGTTATGGCATGGCCATGGCACTCTTGGTCAGTATCCACAAACATGTCAGCTGTCAAAAATTTTCTGCATAGCTAACCTATCTACACAAAACCCCCTTGTGAAATGAACCATTTAGGTGGCCACTACTACCATTAAATTTATAACATGTGGCATGCCCCAGCACTTGGGCACATGGTGAGTGAGGTAAGACTTAATCAAATTGGGTTTTGGGAAAAGAGAAAAACTTGTAAAATCGAAATCATAATTTATAAAAGAACACACCCTAAGGCTAATACAAATTTTAAAAGCCTAGAAATGAGCCACCTAGTACTAGTTACGGCATTCTATAAATGTGTAGTTGATGGTTTAGGTCCATTGAAAATTATATATAAATGCAAAGGCTCCCTCTTTTAGGGGAGGGAAAAGGGTTAAAAGGTGGCTATAGTGGAAGGAATCCTGAAGTGGGTTTTGCCTAGTTGAAGCAAAAAAAGAAAAAACCCTTCTTCCAATCTTCCTCTCACTCTCACCATCATCAATGTTAGTCAAAAAAAATATAATGTTATGGCTACTACTAGACCCCAAGAATAAGGTATATATGGCCTTAATATGATACTACTTTCTGTTCATATCATCATTTTAAAGTTGCCCCTACCTTGTTTCTTTACATAAAGAAACTATTCTATTGGTCGACCCTCTTTCCATTTACCCATTTCTTTTGGGGTTTTGTTTCATCCAATACGTTATCATTTATATTATGATAGTGTAGTTTCGTTCAAGTAAATAGTAGTTGAAAGATGTTTTATGATAATGGTTATAACATCATATCTAACCACAGGCAATTCCTCGCCGTATCTCAAGCACTGGCTTGAATCGAACCCATTGAATTTGAAGGCTCTTTGGTCTGTCAATTAATGTACTATGGCCACTCTTATAATAAGAAAGTTGTCACTTCTAACACCACACCACATGATTAAGTTATTTTTTTGGTAACCGGATGATCGGATTAGCTTGGATGTACCTTATTAATCTTTAAAATCCATTAAATATCCACAAACTCAAAGAACTAGATAAACTACAATATTGTTGTGGTAGTGACCCAAAAGTTTGAACCTATGAACTTAAGGAAGAGAATAAACCTCCTTAACCGTAAGACTAACCCTTTAAATTAGACCAAGTATTCTTCAATTAAACCATCACACACATTTCAAGTTCAAATCATTATTCAGATACCCAGAAAAAATTATTCTGAATCAAAATTTTACAAATGAAGGGCCCAATTGATGTTCATGTTCAGTGCATGTAGAAAGGTATTGATATCAGTCCACTCTTAACAACACAATTGGCTGCATTCTTTCTTTAACTTTAATTTTGCGTTTATTGTTCCCCCATCTTTAATTGTGCCCAGAAAAGAAAAAAAATTATAATTTAGAAGTTGAGCATATGATTAGATCCAGTTGTTTTTCCTAGCCGCCACCTGTCCTCTATAATTTGAAGCTATTTGACACTTCCACGTAGCTTTAGTAAGTTCCTTTTTCTCTTTTTTTTCCCCTTTTAACAACACCACACAGTAGAAGAAGAAGAAGAACGAAAAGCAGCGATTTAAATTACATTTGTTTATGATAATTGGAGCACCTACTTTTGCAGAAAGACAACGATGCCCTCCACTAATTATATTTATTTTTTTTTTGTTTTTTCTTATATTGATATACATAAATATGTTTACAGACAAGACAACTGTTTATATACTCAATATTGTTTCTGTATCTTATAAAAAGGTATCAAGCAATAGTATAAAAGGTGTTATGTGGTAGACAGAAATGCTTTATGCCATTGCCATTTATTCATTACTGTGTTTCAAATTTTATACTATTATCATATAATAATAGTTAAATTTAATATGTTAGCGTGACAGCAAGGAGGTTTGAATCAGATAATTTACCATAATAATATTGTGACTTATCTGATCTTTTGGGCTTATAGAGTGTTCAATAATCTTGGAGATTAGTTAAGATCGTGGCAAACTTATCGGACAATCCAATTACCCAAAAAAAAAAAAAAAAAAAATCAAGGCCACCCTAAACTTAGGTTAAGGAACAAAGGAACGCTAATTCAAAATTATAATGTTTTAGATAGAAAGAAAAGAAATATGGGTTTTTGTAATTAAATAAATTCGTGGGAGATTTGGGTGTTAATAAAAACAGAGTAGGAATTGCTTTTATCTTTCATTAAACACACTGAAAAGAAGTGTGAGTGGTCCCTTTAGAACCCCAATTTAATTTGGAACTAATTTCATAACCAACTTGGCAAAGGACTAGCCGTATCAACTCAACCATGGACTTAATTAAATTCATTTTATTATTCTTTTATATCATTTTCATTTCTTAGAGCCCATGGACCATCCAGTTGTATCCATCTAAGACCATTAAGAAGAAATGAAACATCCCCTTTAATTTCATGATGTGATTATGATAAGATGTAGGCTTTCAAATCCAGCCATCCATTCATATTTACCTCCGTGATTTTGATGGACCCCTTTCTCATGGAATTTCTCCACCACAGACATACAGTTAATAGTTCACTTCAATTTAATTAATTAATTAATTAGATGAATTTTTTGGAAAGTGCTTTTAAAAAAGAAGTGCTTCTTTTACTAAAGATAATCAAACAACCCCTCGGCTATCACCTCCCCCGAATACTTTACCTTGGCAATATTTTTGAATAATGCAATAATAAAAACCCTTTTTATGTAAACATAGAGTAAGAGGGGAGTCCTAGAGAAAAGAAGAGGTGTCAAAATCAAAGGGGGGGCTTAGGTAGTTCACTTTCCAATGAATCTTAAAAACCACATACTCTTAAGATGTCCCGTTCTCCGAAAACCCCACGGCAACCCACTCTTAACAATTTTCATCAACCCAATAACCAAGATTTCATGGTCCCCCACAAACCAATTTTAATTTTAATTTTAAGATTAACCCATTCAATTTTCTTTTAAAAGAAAAATAAATAAATAACACCAACCCACGCCTTTAGACTTGCTTTTGCCGTTGATTATAACACAATAGGGGCCAATCAATCATTAGAACCCAATTGGTCAAATGCACAAAATTTGGGCACCCAATTTTATCATTAATCACCCTTAATCAATAAACTCCTTCTTTGATATCCGCCGTTTAATGGTCCTTAACCATACCAGACCCTTGTAATTTAATTTTGTTTCCTATTTCGAAATTCAACCGAAAAATACATTTTATTTTTAAATATTATAATGGTGGCCTAAAAAGACTGAATTTTTTTTTTTGCATAGAAAGGATACATATATATGCAAGGAACCTCATCATTCCAATTGCCTTTTTGAAAAAATCAAAAAAAAAAAACAAGAAATATCTAGGAGAAGTAAACCCACAAATTTCAATAATAAAATAAAAATACAAGGGGGAAGTAAAGTCAGTTGCTCGAGGAAGAAAATTGGGGAAGAAGAAGGAGGCAGCCAATTAAATTCGAATTAATACAAGTTTTATAGAAAGAATCAGAATCTCAGTCAATAATCCAGTCAAACTTTTTACAACCCAATAACCTCCATTCTATTCTATAATCAATTAATCATACAAAACAAATACCAACTCCATATAATACTACTATTAATATACCCATTATTTCCTCTATATAAATAAACTTACAAAAGTAAAAAATTGGAAGCATTAAAAATGATTAATTATAACATAAAACAAGATTAAGCAAGGATGATTAAATTAAAAAAGAATATATTTATTTTTGGGTTTTTGGGTTTTCCTTTCTGCCCATTAAACAATGAAAATGGCATATTACCAATCATCCTTTCCCCTCTATAGGAAACACCCATCATTGCTCCCAACAATCCTTTTCAACCTTAGAAACCTGAGCTTCTAAGATATTCCCTCTCTTCTTCTACTTCTTCATTCTTATTCTTATTATTACGTTTCTTTTTTCCTTTTAAATATCTCCCTCTTTTTTTATTTTCATATTATTAATTTTAATTTTAATTTTTTATTTATATATATATATAACCTTTTCTCTGCTTTCTTGATCTCCCCTTCTCTCCCTCCCTCCCTCCCTCCCTCCCTCTTTTCTTTCTTTTGTTTTACTATCATGGATCCTTCCTCTGTGAACGGTTTCTACTCTTCTCTAACTCGTGGGATCGATGATCTTGAACTCGTTTATCTCTCTAACAACTTCATGTCTATCCAATTTCTTCAACGGGCTCTTTCTCTTCTTAGATCATTTCATTCTCAACTAACTCTCCTCGTCCAGAAACTCCATTTACCCGTTGGTGAAAAATGGCTCGATGAATACATGGACGAAAGTTCCAAGCTCTGGGAGGCTTGTCACGTTCTCAAATCGGGAATTTCAGGAATGGAAAATTATTACTCTGCTGGCTTAAACATCACTTCATCTCTCGACAATCATCGCCACCTTAGCCCACAACTCTCCAGACAGGTTAACTACTCAATCATTCTTTCATTCAACCACTTTACTTGTATATTTATATAAATATATATAAAACTAACATGAATTTAAATACATTAAAATGAAGCAGGTGATCCGGGCAATTTCAGGGTGTAGAAGAGAGGCAGTGGGGCTGGAAGAAGAGAACAGGGCTTTGATGGAAACGAGAATCCAGCCACTTTCGTTAAGATTTGATGAGAAGGTGTCAATCGAGTCAAAACTGAATGGATTCAATGGTTTTAGAGGAGTCTTATATGCAATGAGAAACGTAAGTTCACTGCTGCTGATGATCTTGGTGTACGGACTGGTGTACTGTTGGCCGGAGACAAGTGGAGGAGTTGGAGGAGGAGTTGAAGGGTGCTTGTTTTTTGGATCGGCGTTTATGATCTCAACGGCAAGATTGCAACAAAGAGTGGCGACAGAGATAAGTCAAATGAATGGAAGGCCGGGGGTGTTATTGTATGAATTTAGAAGGTCAAAGATGGCGTTGGATGAGCTGAGAGCAGAGTTGGAGAGAAGGAGTGGAGGGCATGGACATGGACATGGTCAAGGAGGAGGAGTGGTGGTGGATTGGGAAACAGAGGTGGGGATAAGGGAGAGAGTGGAGAATTTGAAGGGATGCTTTGGTGTATTGAGATCTGGTGCTGAGAATATTGTTGGACAACTTGATGATTTCTTTGATGAGATTGTTGAAGGAAGGAAGAAGCTTTTGGACTTTTGCAGTCATAGGTAGAGCTAGAGATTAGAATCGTCGAACCAAAAAAAGAAAAAAAAAAAAGAAAAGAAAAAAGAAAAAAGAAATATATATTATTACTAGGTAGAGGAATCAGTTGTTGGGGTTGTTGTACCTTTAACCCATCTCTTCATCTTTTTATTTCTTTTTTTCATTTTTCTTTTTAATTTTTCTTTTGGTTTATTTCTTTCTATGTTCTTCTCTTACAGTTACTATAGTTGAAGCTTTAAAGATGGCTTTCCTTCAAAACTCCATAAATGGAAATGTTCCATCCAGATATCATAAAATATGAAGCAGAGGAAACAATGAAGAGAAGTTTAGACTAATTTTGAAGCAGGCAAAGATGTTTAAGAGCTTCTTCTTCTTGTTCTTATATCTTTCTTTTTGGGGGAGAAGAACAAAAAGAATAGAAGCTTCAGTCCAATCTTATTGGTCTTAGCTGTTTTTAATGTAATTTAATTAAAATTTTTGAAGAGCTTTAGCTCTAATTGTGTTTAGAGAGGGAGGGTGGGTGAGTGAGTGATCTCTAGTTGTTAATAGTAAATGACCAGACTAATGATTCCAGTTGTGAAAAAATGATGAAAAAGGGAGGCTTAAGAAGCTTTTGTCTGATTCGGTTTAGATTGAAAGCAATGGAGTTGATGATGAAAGCTTCTAACAAAATAACTCAACTTGAAAGAAATGTCTCTTTTGTGTCCCTCTTTCAAATATAATTTTTTTCTGTTGCCAATTTCTTCTTCTTCCCTCTGNTATTACTTGTAAATTTTTGCCCAGTGATCATTGGTGTAGGACACGGTTTACTCAGCTCCATATGGGATTTAATGAGAAGGTCTTGAATATATTTGCATTGAGACAGATGCATTGAGGACCCTTGTCTGTTTACTTCAATTCCTAAAAAATAGGACAACTCTCCCATGTCCTTTAAAGTAAACTTGTTTTTCAATTCTTGAACAACTTGATTTATCGAAAGGCTTGAACTTCCAATGATGATGATGTCATCCACATATGCCAATAGGATTATTAAGTCTTTCCTTCGGTGTAAGTAGAAGAAAGATGAGTAAGTTTTTGATCCTTTTAAATCCTAGCTGTTAGGAAATTCCTTGAGTTTGTGGAACCAGGCTCTTGGAGCTTGTTTGAGTTCGTAGAGTGCTTTGTTGAGTTTGCATATGAAATCTAGTTGTCTTGGATCCACAAAACCTTCTGGTTGGTCCATAAAGACATCCTCGGTGAGATCTCCATTGAGGAAGGCATTATTGATGTCCACTTACCTTGTTTTCCAGTTTAGTGTTGTGGCTAAGCTTAACACTGATCTGATTGTGTTACATTTCACCACAGAGCTGAAAGTCTCAAAGTAATCTAACCCTGTAGTCTGTAGAAATCCCTTGGCCACCAGTCGTGCCTTGTACCTTGACACACTTCCATCTGCATTGTGTTTTATTTAGTAAATCCGCTTGCACCCCACAGTCTTGATGTTTGAGTTTTTTGGAACCAAAGTCCAGGTTCGTTTCTACTTAGTGTAGTGTAGTGGTGTATTCTTCTTTCATGGCTTCTTTCCATTTTGGATGATTCAGAGCATCTTGAGTTAGGACCGTATCAAAAGTTACTTGAAAGAACTTAGGCTTATAAATTCCAGCCTTAGCTCTTGTCCCCATAGGGTGAGTGTTTTGGGGAGCTTCTCCTTGAGTGGTTTCATCAGATTCTATTGGTTCATCATTGATTGCAGGGGCTTGATCACTGCTTGAAGGACTAGATTAAGCAGTGGCTTTTTCACTGCCTGGAGAACTAGATTGAGATTGATTGGATATGTTATCATAATTTTGAGACAGATGAGGTGATGAACTTACTTGAGGAGTTACCGTTGGTGGATTGCTTACTGTTGAACCACCATACTGATAGAGATTCAAGCTATTGTAGTTGTCAGGAATTGGGTGGTTAGGGTTGTGTTTGATATGTTGTTTAGACTTTGTGGTAGCTTGTTCATGATTTTGTTGAATTGAAAGTCATTCTCATCAAAAACCACATCTCTAGAGATGTACATTCTACTAGTTTCATGCAGGCATATGAAGCCTTTATGGTTTGGGCTGTAGTCAATGAAGATACACTTGCTGGTGTAGAAGTCAAACTTGTATCTATTGTAGGCTCTCAAGTATGGGTAATAGGCACATTCGAAGCATCTAAGGAAGCTGTAATCAGGTCTAATTTTAGTAAGTTTTTCATAGGGTGGTAGGTTGTCGATCATTGGAGAAGGCATTCTGTTTATGAGGTATGTAGAGGTGAGGAAAACTTCCCACCAATAGTCCAAAGGCATGCTGGCTTGGGCTAAGAGGGTTAGACCAGTTTCAACAAGGTGCCTATGCTTCCTTTCTATTTTTCCATTTTGATAATAAGTGTGTGGGCAAGAGAATCTATGGGCAATTCCATTTTCTTTGAGAAAATGGGAAATAGCAATGAACTCTTCTCCCATATCTGTTTGAATGGTTTTGATGGGCTTAGAGGAACAAAGTTCCTGTCATACCTATGATACCAAGTGAGAAAAAAGAAAAAGAGCGGCCAGAGAGAGATGAATGAATATTAAGCTTGAATGGAAGATACTGTTCATTATTGCAAAACAATTAATTTATACACATTTACGTAACAAATTCAGGAAGCTTCTTGATCAATTTACAAAACTTGGTGGGCAAGAATAGTAATAAGAGAATGACACAACAATCATAGGACCACAAGAATCTCAATTTGTTAGAGAGCTGGAGGATGGAGACACATGTCACCAGTGTTGTCTCCCTGGTGTGTTAACATCTGTCCATTGTGCATTTTCTTCACAATTTCCCCGGTGTGTTGCCATCTATCCATTGTGCATCTTCTTCACAAACACCTGTGACAAATTTAAGTGAGTCCACAAAGAGCAAATTTGTGCCCGCCTAACACGACAAGGTGCGTTTATAGAATAAATACCAGCAAAAATAGAGAACTACAATAAATTATACATTTTTATGCCTTCAAATTTCTCAACNATTGAAGTACTGGCCTTGTATATATTTACAAGTTTCAAACCCTGCAGAGATCCTACCTTCTGTTTCATTTGTTTTATGAGAAGACTAGCTACCAGGTACCTCTTGAGACCATTCAAACCAATATTTAATTATATTTGTCTGCAGAATACAGTTTGAAAATTCTTCTCTCATTTTTTTTTTTTTTTATTAATCGAGATAAAATGTGCTAATATCTCTTGTTGTAATAAGGTATTTTTGTCACATATGAATGAAAAAGAGAATAGATGATGAACAAAAACCTAACTCATCACTTGTCCAATAGCAAGAGCATGAGAAAAAAGATAACTGAATCATAACCACAGACGCACATGAGATATTTTACAAGTTCAAAAGAAAAAAAAAAAAAAAAGAAAAAAAGAAAAAAAAAAAAAGGGCAATGGAATGATTTCATTTGTCAATTTCCTGCATGCATGCTATGATAAAATAATAACCTATATCCTGGAAGTCATAAGCTAGCTAGTCTGTATTTCATCAAAACGTTTTTGTTCTTTTACGGTTTTACCTCCTCTCTCTCATGTTGGGTACAGCACTGGCGTGTACACTTTCCAGGTTCACTGTTTATAACGAGGGTTCTCATCAGCATTGATCGAAGTTAATGAGATATTTTACGTATAAAGTAAGTTTGAACGCCCTTTTTACTATGACTCTAAGACACACTTAAAGAGAAAGACGAAATAGAAATGGAAATAAAGGTGCTACAGCGATTGACGTTTTGAATGAGAAAGATGATGACTAGCGCATGGGTTTGAGTCAATGAAGAAGAGAGATAGTACGCTGTCGCTGGCAAGATCAGGTGGGTGGGTAAGTGTGGTTATTAGTGATGGAAACGCACAATACAAACAATGCCTTAGCTTTTTCACGTGATTGCTTGGAAATAAGCATCGTCAGTTTCGGTGCGCTCACATGCAACATCGCCAACCACACTCCACTGTAATTTACACAATGGCCAGTGGTCCAAACAATTTTATTACAGGCGTGTTTAATAAATTAACAAACTTAGGAGGATATTTTTATTAATTTTTAAATTTTACCTCATTATTATCATCTAACTCTTATTTTTTTAAAAACATTATTCAAAATACTAAAATAAACGCACCCTATATATATCACATTCTACCTTAGAGACACACTAACGTGAATCATCTATTTTAGCTACCTTCCGTTGGAATCTAATGGTTCACTCAAAATTTAAGTGGGTACCTAGCTTCCTGCACTATCTATGGTATTCATAATTGATCTTCGATGAATGCATAAGTTTTGCTGTAATATTTGGGTGAGAAAGTTAGCGTGGAAGTATATTTTATGTTCAAGTTAGACTCATGTCAAATGTTGATTGGACAACTTTCTAAGGAACATGTGCTTTAGAATCATCGACCTTTGAAAAGCGCAAAAACTCAATTTATTGGTCAATAAGGTGCTCCTTTCAGTGGTCGGTTTGGTGCTTGTTCTTTAAATCTCAAAACTTATTCAGGTGCTACGATTATTATATTGCATTCTATCCTTTACTGTGAAGGGCACACGATGATTATAAGAGCGGTTAGCATTATCTTAACAAGGTTCTATATGTTATTTGTCGCTAACATGACCTCAGATTAGTACGGAATATAGCTAGCTGCTGCTCCTTGTGTGGTCGGCATCAATAATATCAATGGAGTAATATGTGCTCTCGCTGGAGACAAAATTCAAGTTTCAAACCCAAGGAGCTCCCCTAAACAAAAACATAGGCTCAAGATTTGTACATAACGACATAAACATTATATATGGCCCACTGTCTTAGCTTAATTCCGGTTAAGCCATGCTTAAATCCACGGGATGACCCATTTTGTTAGAAGGTTTATTCTATGGATTAACCCATTTTACGAACTGGTTCACACCACGAGTCAGCCCTCTCTATGAGCTAGGCCACTTTACGAGTTGAGTCACCCTACCAATTGGGTAAACTTATACTTTGGACCCCTCCACGAATTAGGATGTTTTACAAGTTAAACTAAATCGGGTTTTAGCCCATTAGCCCATATTCGTTCTACAGTAGGACTCATAATTCTATTTACTTCCTAGTTCATCCAAGATTCCTAATGTTACATGAACTAGTATTTATACTTCTACATGGATTAGCATTACGAGTTTTTTGGTTACTCAAACTCCTATTATGAGAACGTATAGTTCTACAAGGACTCAAGCTCCCTTTGCTCATTATATAAACAAAGGTCAAGCCTCTGATTATTGATTCAATTAATCATAACCCCTCTTACTAGCTTACTAAGTTCTTAGGCTTTCTTTTGGATTCATAATTGACTTTGGTAATAAGACCTTGAAAATTAAGCTGAACACACAACATAGAGAGTAGAGATTTTAAGAATATATCAGTTAATTTCCTCGATCAATAGATGTTACTATTAATTAAAGTCTGAGAAGTTAAAAGTTAAAAGACTTTGTGTATGACCAAGAATACACAAGGATGGATAGTGCTGACCTCAGACTTTAAATATAGTACATCCATTAACCTCGATGGTGAAATAAGTAGAGGTGTTTAAAAAAATCCATAAACCGAACTGAATTTTTGGTTGTCCAAAAAATCGGTTCGGTTTTGGTTCAAAAAAAAAAAACCGAATTTTCAGTTCGGTTACTGATTTGGGAGAATATGAAAACCGGTTTTATTAACCAGTTTATTATAAAAATATTAAATAAAAAAAATCTGGTTTATTATAAAAATATTAAATAAAAAAATATATAAGGGTCCGTTTGGTTTGTTATTTTGGATAGGATTTTGGAAATAGTATTTGGTAGTTGAGTAGGGTGATTATTACGAGGTAAAATTTAAAAATTAACAAAAAAAACCCTATAGGTTTGCTAATTTAACTAAACACACTAATATATAAAAATTTTATAAAATGACAAAAACACCCCCACCCACCCACAGTGCCAGATTCTGGCCACCACCGCATTCCGATCGGACTCTAGCGTTATGATGCAGACCCGTCGGATCTGGTCAGTCGTGCGTCGATCTGACATTTTTCAGCCAGATTTGGCCATCGACGGCCACAAAGGCCAAATCTTTGACGGCCAAAAAGATGGTCGTCGTTGACTGTCAAAGACGGCCATTTCTTTGTGACGGCCAGAACGGCGAATTACTAACCAATTTTGGTCATTTTTACGCCGTTGTGACAGATTCCGGCCACCACCGACGATGGTTGCCAGAATCTGACAACTATGGATGGGTGGGGGTGTTTTTATTAATTTTTAAACTTTTTTCTAGGAGTGTTTAATTAAATTAATAAACTTAAGGGGTCTAAAAATAATTAAATATAATATAATAGTATTTCCTAAATAATGAAACAAACAATTATTTTGGGAATAGGGTAGAAAATAAAGAACCAAACGGACCCTAAAATATTAAATATTAAAATAAAATCGGTTAACCGAAAAACCGGTTTTCCCCTTAACCGGTTCAATTTCAGTTTAGGAAAATTCCTGAACTAAAAAACAAGTTCAGTTCACAAAATCGGTTAACCGGTTTTGAATACCCTAGAAATTAGAAGTGAATGTGAACTTTAAAACCAAGAAAACGTCTGAGTGAACACCGTTAAGAGATCAACGACTCTATGCAAACCATAAAGCAAAGTGATTTATGAAGCATTCAATGACGAAATAGCATGTTCATTAAGAGTAATTGTTCTGGTGATAAAGATAAGCAGTTAATGGTAGTTGATCAAGTCATCAACTACATTTTAAAAAGGAAGCGATAGCTATTAATACTGTTTTTTTCTTTTCTTCAAGTTGTACATTTATTAAGCAATTTTTTTTTCTTTTTTTTGACGAATTTTTAGTCAGAAAACCCTTGTTAAGCATTTCGAATGTGTACTTAGTAACTAAAAAGAGAACATTACAGTCATATGCCTTTTTTTTTTTATTGGAGGTGTCTGGATCAATTTGCGCGTACCTGAACTAATCTTTTGAGACCTAAAATTGACAACCAGATAAATCCTCTCAGTGGTCACCCCTATTAGGACATGTAGAGACTCGAACTCAAAAACTTATATTGAACCCTTTACTCTCTTACCATCAGACCACCCAGTGGTGGTTTATATGCTTTTTTTTCCCCTTCCCATAAAAATATTGTTTTCTTTAAACTATGGTCTTTTTAAAGACAAGGTCATTTAAAAAAGATTTAAGATCTTTAATTATGCTTTTGAGAACTAAATACATTTGAATAGTTGATAGAAATTTATACATTATAAGATACTACAATGTCACAGTATACATGTATTATTACAGTAAAGTTATATATAATAAGTAAACGGAAGTAAATTCCTATTCTCACAGATGCCCATATTATTTGGCCAACCAATGAATCAAGCCCATTGTAGACCAAAACCAGTGCAACTTCACGTACACTTTAGAGATAGTGCCAGAACTTTTCATTTATAGTCTCAAAATTGAGCCTAAATGGAAGGGAAAAAAATTGAAGAAATAATTATCTCATGCTCCTTCTTGACAAAAGCTCAAACTTACTCGATTTAACAAGTCTTGCTCGATGTTGTAACGCCAAAAAGTCTCAATCCTTAGTCTGAAAACTAAGCCAAAATGCAACGGGAGAATTTTTTTTTTTTTTTTGAAGAAGTAAGGATTGAATGCTCCAAGATAAAAGCCTCTTACAATTATGAATCACATTCTTTTAAAATCATGGTCCATTCTTGACCATCTCCGACCTCAAACTCAACTAAACTCAATATGTCATGATTCTCTATAACATAGATCGGGGATTAGAATTTAAATTTTGTGATAAAGTTAATTATGTTATGTGATTATTTAATTTCTCACGCATATATCTATATCTTGGGATGAATTTTATGTTTGCCAATGATTTGATTTTTACGCCAAACTACGATTTGAAGAAGCACTATCAATTGCCAGAATAAAAATACCAGCGTCAGAAAATATTTCTGACCTTAGATATTACCACTAAAACGTAGAATATTGTAAAAACTGTCAGATATTGAGATGAAAGAGAAGGCAAGAGAGGCAGAGACGCCAAAGTATGCCAAGAGAGAAGAGACAAAAGGAATCTTGTATTTCTTATATATTTGAAATGTACATAGAAGGGACTATTTATACAAGTATAAAACTTATACAAGTATAAAACTCTAAATTAGGCAATCACATAATGTGCCTTAAAACTATAATCCCACACAATCTGGGATGTGATTAGTATAAAATCAGAACTGTAATAAAGCATAATATTTGACATCATGTCAAATATTAACTTTCCTTAGTAATTTTATTCATATCTTCACACAGCCCCTCAAGCTTTTGATTGTATATGTCATAAACTCCAAGCTTGCATAATAGATATGAATGTTGTCTGTTGCACAGTGGTTTCATGAAAATGTCAGCTGGCTGCTCCGAAGTTCGAATGTGTTTTGTTTTAATCGTCCCTTCCTGTATTTTCTCTCTGATGAAATGGCAATCAATCTATATGTGTTTTGTCCTATCATGAAAAACTGGGTTTGTTGCAATATCATTTGTTGCTTTATTATCATAGTACATTTGAACAGGCCCTTTTACTTGCACTCCCAAATCTCCTAGTAATCTAAGGATCCATGTGATCTCACATGTAGTTTTAGTCATAGCTCTGTATTCAGCTTCTGCTGATGATAGGGATACTGTGGATTGTCTCTTTGTCTTCCAGGAGATGAGAACTCCCCTAAGTTTTATGCAGAAACCGGTAAGGGACTTTCTTGTCATTGGACATGTGCCCCAATCTGAATCACAATTGGCTGTGATATCTAGATCAGCATTTCGTGGTAATAGAAGTCCAAGGCCAGGACAACCTTTTAGGTACTTTATCACCTTTATTGCTGGGTCTATGTGAGAGTGTTTTGGTCCATGCATGAACTGACTGAGGATGTGCATTGCATAGCTAATGTCTGGTCGTGTCATAGTGAGATAAATGAGACGACTTACAAGTCTCTGATAATGAGATGCATCTTCTAATGGTGGATCTATTTCTATTGATGATGCCACTTTATCATACTCTTGAGTGGTTAGTTTTGAATTTTGTTTAACAGGGATAGCACTCGGCTTGCATCCTGACAGTCCAGAATCTGATACAAGTTCAAGAACATATTTCCTTTGACTTAGAGATATTCCTATGTGAGATCTTGCAATTTCAATCCCTAGGAAATATTTCGGTTCCCCCAGATCTTTTATGTGAAAATGTTTGTTGAGATGTTCCTTCAAGCTTTTGATAGCGACTTCATCATTTCCTGTGATCAGGATATCATCAATATATATGATGAGTGCAATGAAAGAATTACCTTTGCGCTTCAAGAAGAATGCATAATCATGTTCGGACTGAAGGAAGCCATTACTTGTGAGTGCCTTTGTGAATTTTTCATTCCACTGCCTAGATGCTTGTTTTAATCCATGTAGGGACTTTTGTAGAAGACATACAATATTCTCCTTCTGTCGTTGAAGTCCTGGAGGAATATCCATATAAATTTCTTTATGAAGATCGTCGTGAAGAAAGGCATTATGAACGTCCATCTGATGTAAAGACCAGTCGCGAACAGAGGCGACTGAAAGGAAAGCTCAAATTGTAACATGTTTTGCAACAGGGGAGAATGTCTCTTGGTAATCAAATCCTTCACGCTGAGTGAAACCCTTAGCAACTAATCAAGCTTTGTATCATTCAATAGACCCATCAAAGCAGTGTTTGATCTTGTATACCCATTTGCACCCAATTGGTTTTCTGTTTTGAGGACGTGGCACTATGTCCCAAGTGTGATTTTGGGCGAGGGCATTGAGTTCATCAGCCATAGCTTGTTGCCAGTGATCATGGGAGACAGCCTCAGAGTAACATGATGGTTCCTGTTCTGCTAAAATTTGATTGATAAAAATCCGATGTATAGGGGATAATCTATCATAACTGACATAATGTGAGGTAGGGTAAGAAATACCTGGTGCTTGAATGGTGGGACATTCATAATCAGCTGTCCAAATTGGTGGCTTCGTGCGATAAGAATATCGTCGGGCATGAGGGTCTAGGTGTGGTGGTTTTGGAATTGGATGAGTGAAGGGTTGAGGATCGGCTATAGAGGTGTTGGTAGGAGGAGTGTCTGTTGTAGGTACACTAGTTGCTAGAGATTATGTATGAATGGGTGAATCTGGAGGTGTGGGTATTATTGTAGGTGTAGGAATGAGTACAAAATCTGGATTTTGGGGATGGTGATCTTTAAGAAATCTAGATGGTTGGGTCTGCTAAGAACTGGAAACTGCATCTCTATATGGAAAAATATCTTCATAAAAAATAACATCCCAAGATACCAGAAATTTCTGAGTAGCAAGACCATAAAGTCAATACCCTTTTTGAAGAGTAGGATATCCCATGAAAATGCAGGGATTAGATCGAGACCCAAATTTGTCATTTGTCCCAACAATTTTTGAGTAACATAGGTAGCCAAACACATGGAGATGGGTGAGATCCGGTGTTTTCCCAAAAAGAATCTTAAACGATGTCTTGCCATGAAGAACTTTTGATGGCATACGATTGATTAGGTAAATAGTTGTGATCACACATTCACCCCAAAAGGAAAAAGATATGTTGGCTTGGTGTTTAAGGGCACGAGCTATTTCTAATAAGTGTCTATGCTTTCGTTCGACAAACCCGTTCTGTTGAGGAGTATAAGTACAAGAACTCTCATGTAAGATCCCAATGGATAAAAAGAGTGATGAACAAGTAAGATTAAAGAATTCTTTGGCATTATCAGAACGAACCCTTTGGATAGAGGTATGAAATTAGGTCTTGATCATTGCTAGGAAATTCCTAATGTGAGTTGCGGTTTGGGCTTTATTTTACATCAGAAAAACCCATGTACCACGAGAAAAATCATCAACAATAGTTAGGAAGTATCTAGCCCCATCATGGTTGGGAGTGTGATATGGACCCCAAATGTCTAGGTGTACGAGTGGAAAAGGATGAGTGGTGCTCGTGGGAAATGTGTTTCTGATTTGTTTGGCAAGTGGACAAATATGACATTTTGGCTGGGGAATGGAAGCACTGTGACCTAGTCTTTGATGCAAAATAGAATTTTTATTGATATTTGTATTACAAGAGATTTTATTTGGTGTAATACAATTTGAAAAATCTAAAAAGCCAAAACAGGGAACAACAGGTGTCCAATAGTAAAGACCGTTATTCATTCTATCCAAGCCCATCAGTTTCCCAGTTGAATGGTCCTGAAATTCACATTTTGTAGGGAGAAAATGCAGGTGACAGTTATTATCCTGATAGAGTTTAGACACAGAAATGAGATTGAAATGAAATTCTAGGACACATAGTGCATTTTTAAGTACTAAAAGTTCGGTCAATTGAATAATGCCTATGTGAGTGGCAGGGGCAATATTGTCATTTGGCATTCGGATGGAAGTGCTGGTGTTGGCAATGGTATGGGTATGGAAATGTTTTGGGTTGCAAATAATGTGGTCACTAGCTCCTAAATCAATAATCCAAACATTATAAAATTAAGGCAGAATGATGTACTTGCGTATGATGACAAACCTTGTGGGGTGCTGTTTAGTATTTGGAGGAGCTTAGTGTATTGTTCTTGGCTAAGCAAGGGTGCTGAAATAGGATCCCCAGAAGAATGGCTTGATACTTGATGAACGGAGGGCGTACCATTTTTGTCCTTATTGGGACGCCCATGAAGCTTCCAACAGTGATCCCGATTGTGATTACGGCGTTTGCAATAATCATAATAAAGTTTGGACTTGCCTTGTTTTGAGGAGCCATGCCCATATTGATTAGTAAACCCATTGAAAGATGGTGGGCTGGATGTATTGTGAAGAGAAGAGATGAAGCCTGGCCCATTTGTGCTTGTTTACCTAATTGAGTTGGATTGAGAAAGCAAATCATGGCCATTCATTCCTACAAATAAAAAATCAGTTTTGCGGGTTTGCAAACCTAGCTATCATGTGGTGTCTTCATGGGAGAGAGATGGTTGATTGGAATGGGAAGACCGAGAGCCGGCAAAGGCCAAGGCTTCCCCTTACCATGTGTTATCCACGGTGATTTGTCGTTGGCTTTCCTCTTGGACAGCCAATTGAAAAATCCAGTGAAAGGATGTCAGTTGATCGAAGGCAAGCATTTGGGTCCAAAAAGGTAGGAAATTGTCATTGAGGCCAAGCAAAAACTGACCGAGTCGTTCTTGGTCTTTGATGCGGTGATATTGCCAGAGTGTTTCCGATGGCCCAAGGAGAGTTTCAGTGGCAGCATCCAAGGCATTCCAAAGGCTACTGAGTTTATTGAAATATGTCGTAATAGACATATTCTGTTGTTTGAGCTCGGAGAGATTTTGCCAAAGAGAAAATGTTTGGGCATGATTTAACTTGCCATACATTTCTTTAATGTATGCCCAAGTTTCGTTGGCAAAATCAGTGGGTGGTAGGCCAGCGGCCACTTCAGAAGAGATGTAATTGTCGATCGAGGAACAGATGAGCATATTGCATTTGTTCCAATGACAGTGAAGTGGGTCGTCAGTGGGTGGTGGGATGGTGGTGCCATCAATAAAGGATTCTTTATCCTTGGTGATGAGAGCCCGACGAAAATCTTTCGCCCAAGAAGCAAAGTTATCAGATCCGGTCAAGACCTGCTTGATGAGGACAATTTCAGGGCCATCGGAGGCTGGCGCGTACAGTGTGTCTCCTGATTCAGGGCGATGGCTGCTGATTGGTATGATCTAGAAATTGTAAGGGAAGTGGGTCGGGTAGGGATTGGAATCCATTTGGGAATCCTGACCCGGTTGGGGACCCGAAAAACCAAATGGGTAGGAGAAGTGGGTTTGTGTGTTTGGGCCGATTGGGGCTGGGCTGGTTGGGAGTGGACCGGATTGTGTGTTTGGGCCAATTGGGATTGAGCTGGTTGGGTTTTGATCTGGGCCCGTTGGATTTGGGTTTGCTGTATTTGATTGAATTTGGGCTGGGTTTGGATTATCTGCCATTTGCAAAAGAAAGAAGAAAAAACTAAACCAAGTTTTCTGTTTGATTGCATGGACAGAAAGGAGAGGCTTGTTTGAGCGGAAGCTTAAAGACAATGCTCTAATACCATGTTAGATATTGAGATGAAAGAGAAGGCAAGAGAGGCAGAGACGCCAAAGTATGCCAAGAAAGAAGAGAGAAGAGAGAAAAGGAATCTTGTATTTCTTGTATATTTGAAATGTACATAGAAGGGACTATTTATACAAGTATACAACTCTAAATTAGGCAATCACATAATGTGCCTTAAAACTATAATCCCACACAATCTGGGATGTGATTAGTATAAAATCAGATTTGTAATAAAGCATAATATTTGACATTATGTCAAATATTAGCTTTCCTTAGTAATCTTATTCATATCTTCACAAAAAAAATCACCAGTCACTGGAATTAAACTGTTTGCCACAAAGTATATGTAACATAAGCATGAACCAAACAAGTTGATCATGAAAAAGTCGATGTTCATAGTTGCGAAGAGTTTTTTTCCTCACGTATATCTACATCTCGGGATAAATTTTATGTTTAGCGATGATTTGATTTTCACACCAAACCACAGCTTGAAGCAGCACTATCACCTACCAGAATAAAAATATCTACATCAAAAAATATTTCTGGCCTTAGATATTGCCACTAAAAGGTAGAATATTGTAAAATCAATCACCAATCATTAATATACTCATGAACCAAACAAGTTGGTCATGGAAAACTCAACGTACAATGTTGAAAAGATTTTTTGTTTTCTTTCTTTCACATATATCAGATTCCATTCTCTAAAATGTAAAGCCAAACATGGTTATCGATCTAATGTTTAAAAACTAGTTGAACCCCATGCCCTTTATGGCAGCCCCAAAACATAGACAAAGTACCTAAATATTATTGTAGCTTACTAGTGATAGTGCTATATAGAGGTGGGCAAACAAGGCTTAGGCCCTCAAGGACCAGTCTCGGGCCCGTCACTTTTGTGAGGGTATGCCCTGTATAAGATTGACTTTAGGACCAGTCCTATGTAGGCCTATATAGGATAGGTTTTGAAAATAATCGAGCTCGTACTTGGGTACAGTCCCAAACCAATGCCCTGGAGGAAGGCTCGACCTGGGCGTGGTCACCCCTCCCTAGAGCTCGAGCCAGTGCCAAGACCGATCCCTATGCCTTGGGATTAGGCCCTTTGGGCCTGGGCTTTTTGCCCACCTCTAGATTGCTACATGCACCACAAACAAAAAGACGGGGAAAATGCATAAACTAATGCAATAATCTATAAAACAAATGGAGATAAAAAATAAAAAAAACAGGCGTGAAGAAATGCCTTGACAATAAATAATTAGAAACCAAAAATAGTTAAGCTGCAAATATTATTTTTATAAGTGACACAAGGCATACCTTTAAGTCGATACCACTTCTATTAGCTGAAGACAACAATCTTGCGCTGTCGCTCTGAAGTAAAAACAAAAGCAGCAACTGTTTAGCTTAAAGAGTATTCGAACAAGAAATCCTAAGTTCTCAAACAAGCAATA